TACATCCGGAATTTTGTTTATCCTCTACAGCATCCAGACCTTGTCACAGTGATCCAGTAGCTGGGACAGGCAGGGGCAACCTACCCCTTTAACGTGTTTGCCCAGGGGTTTGTATAACTGATGGGTTTTCTAGGTGGTTGGGGCTCTTGCTTCATAAAACCCTTTCAAAGATTTTTGTGAGATGGGATGTTAGGAACTATTGGTCTGTAGTTCTTTGCAACTGTTTTACTGCCACCTTTGTAGAGTGGGACTATGTCTGTTGTTTAGAGTGTGGGATGGCCCCTGTGTCCATGCTCCCTCTCCATAGAATGCTGAAAGCACGCAACAGGGGCTTCTTGCAGTCTTGATGAACACGGAGTTCCATGAGACTGGGCATGAGGCAGAGTGCACGGGCATGTCATTTATTGCCTTTTCAAAGTCTCGTGGTGTTAGGATTTTATCCAAGATTTGTGAGATGACCAAATTTTGGGTCTCGTTCATGAAGAATTCATTTGGATTGTCGACCCTTATTCTGGGCAGCGGCTCGCTGAACTGAGTCGTATTGGGACTTTAGTATTTCTCATTTCTTGGCTGTCATCTGTGTATGTCCCATCTCGCCTAAGCAGGGGGCCCAATACTGGATGTTATTTATCCCTTAGATTTGGCATTAGAGAAGAAGCATTTTTTTCAATCTTTTTTGTGGCTTTTAGTTCTTCCTGCCACACTTGTCTCCTGAAAGATTCCCTCAGTTTGATATTTGCAATTTCATTGACCAGTGGGCTCCCTTCGTTTTTCAGATATATTGGACACTCTCAGCAGCTCTGAGACTCTTTGCCTTCATCTTTATAGGGAGTCTCTCTCTTTCTAGTTTACATCTTCTCTTTCTTTTTCTTAATGGAATGTGCCTTGAGCAGATCTCAAGAACCAGAGAGTTTATTTTTTCTAGACATGGGTTCGGATCTGTGTTGTTTAGGATATCTTCCCAGCTTCTTTCATTAAGAACATGGTTGACTTATTCCAGTGTATGTTTTTGTTATTGAAATTGAATTTTGTTAAGACACCCCTCATGACTGATCACATTTTGCTGGTCAGGAACCCTGTGCATACGTCTGTACCTCTATTATGTTGTGATCTGAGCGTATTTTCTAATCTTATATGCTCTAATATTTGCTGGTTTTAGGTGAATTTGGTGTAGAGATTTAATAGCTCGTGTGTGTGTTTTGTGTGGGGGTGTGTGTGTGTGTGTGTGTTGTGTTTTGTGTGTGTGTGTGTTGGTGGGGTGTGTGTGTGTGTGTGTGAATTTTCATCTGAGCTACTAAAATATTATTTGCTACACTCCTCCATTTTCGGCGTTTCAAGTTGAAATCTCCTAGCAAGATGTTTGAGGCAGGAGTTGAGAGATTTTCAGACAGTGGTCAATTTTCTAAAGCTGCTCCTGGAATTGCTGGGGAAATTGCATCTGGAGGCTTGTATACAACCACAATGAAAAAGTTTTGGTTTCCAATCTTTACTACCAAAACTTCAACTACATCATTTGAGGTGTTCAGTATTTCTGAACAAATGAGCGACTCTGTGAAATACAGGTCAACCCCTCCTTGTTGCCTGTTTAATCTGTCGCATCTGAATAGGTTTTGACCTGGGATCCATATTTCGTTGTCAAAATGATCCTTTATGTGGGTCTCTCTGAATGCTGACTCTCTGAGCAGTCCTTTGATGCAAGTTTGTTGATGTCTTTAGACCCTATATGTTTGCAAAGACAAATGTCGTTATATTGGTGGAATTTAGGGGGTTTTATTTGCTGGCTCTAATATCTGTTGTTCTGGAGTGGAGGCCAATCACTGTGGCTCTGCTCCAGACGTGTTTTCAGTTACTGTAACGTTGCTATATTTCTTGCCAGTAATTTTTCCTCCTGGCCCTAAAAAACCTCTTTCCCTGGAGAGTTTATGGCTCACCTCTTTTGTTTCCCATGGTCGCGCTGGTCTGTGTCTTTTTGTTCCCTGTAGATGATGTGCCTGGCAGTTTGTGTTTTGCCACTTTCTTTCATGGAGTGACCAGTGACACATTTTGGGGTAAAACAAGTTACAGGAAGGGGAGTTGCACTCTCTTCTTGTCATTTGGGTGCGGCATTTTTTGGGATGGTCAAAGGCGCATATCCCACCTATTTTACCAGATATACCATGCCTGGAGATACCCAAAGCATGGAATTTGCATAGACTGGAATTCTGTTTGCTAGGATTTACTGAAGCTGCGTTCACTGTTGGTGCATTTTTTTTCTGTTTCTCCCTCTACCTACTGCCCCTGTATGGACATCAGTGCTTCCAGCAGGTTTTGCTGGTAATGTGTCAACGCTATTCCTGAGGCATCACCCCCTTTGTTTCATCTCCACCTAAATTAGTTTTAAGAACGAGACAAAATTTGGTACAATCAAACCTATTTGATATTAATCCTGACACCAAATGGCTTCGAAATAGCGATAAATAACATGGAGTTGCACTCTGCCCCAGGCCTAGCCTCATGGAACTCCGTGTTCAAGAACTGCATGTAGTCCCTATCAAGTGCTTTAAACACCCTATGGAGAGGGAGGATGGACACAGGGCTCATCCTACATCTGCTAAAAACAATAGACGCAGCCCCACTCCACAAAGAGGGCTAACATCCCATTTCATGAGACTCCTTGAAAGAGTTCTAAGAAGCAAGATCGATACCCTTCAGTTACACAACCCAGGGCAACATGGGTTTAGAGCAGGTCGCTCCAGGCTGTCTCAACTATTGGACCACTATGGTAAGGTCGTGGATGTTCTAGAAAACAAACAAAATATAGTTACAGTACACAGACTACAAAAGGATTTAACAAGTGTGACCATGGTGTAATAGCGCACAAATTGAGTGTGAAGAAATAATAAGAAAGGTTGGCAGGTTGGATCTATAATTTCCTAATAAATAGATCACAAGGAGAAGCAGTAAACAGAGTAAAGTCTGAGGCTGCTACGGTGAAAAGCTGTTACACAAGGCACAGTACTCCCATCCTGTTCCTTATCGTCATACCTGGCATAGACAAGGATGTAAGCCACAGCACCGTGTCTTCCTTCGCAGATGACACCCGAATTTGCATGACAGTGTCCTCCATTGAAGACTGCAAGACTCCAGGCGGACATCAACCAAATCTTTAAATGGACAGCAGAAAACAAGATGAAGTTCAATGATGAGAAATTTCAGCTACTCAGATATAGAAAACGTAAAGAAATTACAACTATATCGGAGTATACAACAAATTCCAGCCTACAATAGAGTGAAAAATTAATGTAAAAGACCTGGGAATCATAATGTCAGAGAACCTCACTTTCAAAGACCACAACATTGTGTCAATCGCATCTGTTTGAAAAAATGATAGGATAATAAGGGAAAACCTTAAAAACTATGATGCTAAGTCCATGACGACGCTCTTCCCTTCGCGTGTTCTATCTAGGCTTGAATATTGCTGCACACTAACAGCAACTTTCAAGGCAAGTGAAATTGCTGACTAAAAAATGTACGTGAACCCAAGGCACACAAACGCATAAAACACCAGAATACTGGAATGTTTAAATTTTTAAACCTTACCCCTGGTATCGGGCGGGAGAGATGCATAATAATACATTTGGAAAAATCCAGGGGGATTATATCAAATCTGCACAAAAAATCAGTCCCTAGAAAGCAAAGACCAGGTGTGCAACACCCCCCCGGGAATAGCATGGGCCACTAGCACATAAAGCCCAACACAATAAGCGTCAGCAGCCCTAAGACTCATCAACTGCCTCCCAGTATACTAAGGAGGATTACCCCTAGACCCCCTGCTGTTTTCATGAAGCTTTTTGGGCAGGCATGTAATCAGTACCACCAGCCAAGCTGTGGTTCATACATCGTTTATTGTGGGCCCCAATAACACCTGATTGATCAGGCCCCCGACCACCCGAGGCCTGTTTGACGGGCATTGCGGGGGTTTACCCCCGAAACCCCCTCCAGGAACAATAGCACCTTACCTAGATTCCTGGGGAAGGGGTTTTCGGGTGTCAACACCCTTTTGGCCCTGTTTGAGACCAGGGGCTCTGGGAGATCAGAGACGACAACGAGGGTTTTTTCTGCTGGCCGACACAAAAATATGTACGGACCACAACCGGTTGGGGCAGAACTGATTTAGGTCCTTTCATGCCCTTCTTGAAGACAGCCGGGGACTATTGGAATCCCCCCCAGTATGTGGAGGGATTTTTAAAACTTGGGCCCCGGGCACTTTTTTGGTTGCTAGTGACTGGTGTTTCATCTCCCCCGCCGATCTTTTGCCCTTTACAAGCAGTGATTTTCGTGTATTATCATGTAACTTTCTCGCGTGTGTGTTAGGGAATACAAATCAAGGTATTTCAACTGTTCACAGTAATTTAGGTGTTTCATCTTACGTATGTGTGCCGTGAAAGTTCTCTGTAAACTCTCCAAGTCAGCAATTTCGCCAGCCTTGAAGGGGGCAGTTAGTGTACAGCAATATTCCAGCCTAGGGAGAGCAACCGATTTGAAGAGAATCATCATGGGCTTGGCCTCCCTACACCGTAGTCTTGGACAACTTTTATAATGAAACATTTAACCTAGTGTTGCACACACTCGTTTTTATCTGTATTGTATATCATTACCACCTTCACACTGCAGTAGGTCTACTGGCCCATGCTAGGCAGGTCTATCTCACACTCATCCATGGACTCATCCAGCCTACATTTTTACCTACCCAGAGTTGTCAGTTGTTTACGCTCTTAATAATTTTTATCTAAACCCATAATTAAGCTGATAAAATAGGAACAATCGGTTATTTTTTTTAACTACAACTGCTCTAATTGCACATTATCTATATTTCAAAAATTAACAGAGAAATTATTTTCAGAACTGATGTGTAATATTTTAGTTGTTTGGTACATATTGAAATTGTTTCCCGGTTTTGTGAAGCAATGGAGAGGTTTGACTAGGATGAGACTGTTTATGTACATTTTTGTTGTTTTTAGGTGCTGGTCCAGGTGATTCCTTCCAATCTGAGTTGGTGCTGCTTGACGTCTGGGTGAAGGTGAAGAAAGATGGTTCACCTGCATTGCAAGGTGCTTCACCTGTGTTACAAGATGGTTCACTAGCCCCACCAGGCAGTTCACTTGTGTTACAAGATGGTTCACTAGCCCCACCAGGCAGTTCACCTGTGTTACAAGATGGTTCACTAGCCCCACCAGGCAGTTCACCTGTGTTACAAGATGGTTCACTAGCCCCACCAGGCAGTTCACCTGTGTTACAAGATGGTTCACCTGCCTCACCGGAAAGTACCGTCGTCCTCCACTTGGTGGCAAAGTTCTACAGTTTTGATATAATGTCTCGCGAGATAAACAAGAGGATGAGTACTGGCCAGAAGGAACACTTGATATATACAAAGATAATTAAAGAGCTCAACGAGTTTCAAGCAGACAGAGCCCGTGACGAGCCTAAAATATCCATCCCACATTTGATCTATGGACGATGTACTGGTAATGAAAATGTTTTACTAATGGAAAACCTTAAAATCCACGGATACAACACTTTTGACAAGCGTAAAGGGCTGGATTTTGAGCATCTTAAGGCCTGTATAGAACAAATAGCCAGAATTCACGCCCTTTCGCATGTGTTCTATAGGGATAAAAATTTCCGTAATAAATACCATTGCTTTCAGTCAACTTCGGAGCACCTCATGTATATTAAACCTATAGTAGCTGCTATGCTAGACTCCATCATTGCATTTCTTAGGACTCAGAACGACAAGAAGGATGTCACACGAAAACTGGAAGCATGTAAACAAAGTATATTAGATAAATATTCAGCAATACTGCTGGACAGAGAAAGTATCACGTGTTTAAATCATGGAGATTATTGGATTAATAATATTATGTACAGATATAAGAACCCAGTGGCACAGGGAAGTCATGAAGACTCGCAGGCAAGTCAAGAGGACTCGCAAACACTTGCGAGCCATGAAGACTCCTGGGCAACTCACAGGGACTCGCAGGAAGGCCACAGCCAGAGGGTCTTCCATGCACATGAAAGCCATCAAGAAATCGAAGCATTAAAGATCATTGACTGGGGTAACAGTAGCTGGGGCAAGCCGATGTTTGATCTACAGTATATCCTCTACACGTCCACTACTCGCACCATCAGGAACGCTCATCTAGATCACCTGCTGCACCTCTACCATTCTACCTTTACTAAGCTTGTTGCAAAGCTGGGCTCATCTGCTGCCAGCTGGAGCTATGAGCAATTTAAACTAGAATGGGAGAGGACTTGCACTGTAGGGTTCCTCTTTGGCTGTATTATGACTTTAGGAACACTTAGCACCAGTAATCCTGTCAACAAAGCATCACAGCCTTCATTCCTAGACAAGCCTATTCTCTTACCGGTCAAAGTAATTGTTGATGGCATAAAGCTAGGAATGGCGAGGTTATTACTTCCTTTACTTGAAAAGCCAATTGGAGAGTTCCTCATTAAAAACACGTTTCACCACACGTTTAAGCCCATACATGAAGAGCTGTGTTCTGGACAGAATGAAATTATGAATACAAGACTAATGGACCTTATTTGCGAGGCAGATGAGAAAGGGATTTTCTCCACAGAATCAATCATACCCGAGTAAAATAACGACGGGTGTGCTCGCTGAAATAGACCCCCATAATCAACCCGCATTCACATCAGTGATTGTTACTTCACGTTCCTCAATACTACCATTAAAACTGCAGGTGGTTCTCGACTAACTAGACAAGTGTTTCCTGGTCAGATGATGACCTGCCATTTGAGCTTTTGGTCATTTAACCGAGGCCTTCCTCTGGCTTATCGGTCCACCCCCTTTAAAAAATGTGGTAACACTTATAACCACTTAGTTTTACTTACCATGGGGTTACATTATGAAGAACCCGTCGTAAGTTAAAAATTTAGTAAGTCGAATACAAATTTAATATAAAAGAATAATTCTTAGTATTAACATATCTGTGTGATACATGGTTTAAAACACCGACAAGTTGAAGATTGTCGGTTTTTTAAACCATTCATCACAACTGTCAGACACAGCAGATCATGGGGCTTGAAAAAAAGAATTTTTCAAAACTTGTCAACCCTTTTGGGCAAAGGCCCACT